TTAAAGCCTAGTGTATACTTGCGCGGCTTACGTTAGCGGTTGCGGTGCACCTACGCTAGCACATGTGTGTTTATACTCCTTGCGGACTTTTGAGGAGAATGTTGTAATCCCACAACCAACCACATAATGGCGATCTCACACACATCTCACGAGTTGCATCAGATACCAAAGCGGTCTCATTTACGCCGCTTCTTTCTCGTCTTCAGAACAAAAACATGAACAAACCGAGTTGTTTGAGCCCATTACATGTGTGTCTACTGTAGGTTTATGTGATAGTTCTATGGACTCATTATTTCTTAACTCATTTAACTGTGATGTTGTGAATAAAGACACAGTTCTTGTTGGAAACATAGTTATAATTAAATTGTATTCAGCACAAACAGCAAAACAATAAGTGGTAAATATCTGAGGCAAACATGAACGATTTAAAAGTGCAGGAGGAATGGAACAGACGAGATAAGCTACTGTACGAGTGCAAATTCAGGCAAGACAGGAACAGTGCAAAACAAACGACTGCACAGTTTATAAGTTATATATACAGTGCCTTGCGAAAGTATTCGGCCCCCTTGAACCTTTCAACATTTCGTCACATTTCAGGCTTCAAACATAAAGATATTCAATTTCAATTGTTTGTCATGAATCAACAACAAGTGGGACACAATCCTGAAGTGGAACGAAATGTATTGGATAATTTAAACTTTTTTAACAAATAAAAAACTGAAAAGTGGGGCGTGCAATATTATTCGGCACCTTTACTTTCAGTGCAGCAAACTCACTCCAGAAGTTCAGTGAGGATCTTTGAATGATCCAATGTTGTCCTAAATGACTAATGATGATAAATAGAATGCACCTGTGTGTAATCAAGTCTCCGTATATATGCACCTGCTCTTTGATAGTCTCAGGGTTCTGTTTAAAGCGCAGAGAGAACCATGAAGACAAAGGAACACACCAGGCAGGTCCGAGATACTGTTGTGGAGAAGTTTAAAGCCGGATTTGAATACAAAAAGATTTCCCAAGCTTTAAACATCTCAAGGAGCAATGTGCAAGCAATTATATTGAAATGGAAGGAGTATCAGACCACTGCAAATCTACCAAGACCCGGCCGTCCCTCCAAACTTTCATCTCAAATAAGGAGTAGACTGATCAGAGATGCAGCCAAGAGGCCCATGATCACTCTGGATGAACTGCAGATAACTACAGCTGAGGTGGGAGAGTGTGTCCATAGGACAACAATCAGTCGTGCACTGCACAAATCTGGCCTTTATGGAAGAGTGGCAAGAAGAAAGCCATTTCTCAAAGATATCCATAAAAAGTCTTGTTTAAAGTTTGCCACAAGCCACCTGGGAGACACACCAAACATGTGGAAGAAGGTGCTCTGGTCAGATGAAACCAAAATCAAACTTTTTGGCCACAATGCAAAACGATATGTTTGGCGTAAAAGCAACACAGCTCATCACCCTGAACACACCATCCCCACTGTCAAACATGGTGGTGGCAGCATCATGGTTTGGGCCTGCTTTTCTTCAGCAGGGACAGGGAAGATGGCTAAAATTGATGGGAAGATGGATGGAGCCAAATACAGGACCATTCTGGAAGAAAACCTGTTGGAGTCTGCAAAAGACCTGAGACTGGGACGGAGATTTATCTTCCAACAGGACAATGATCCTAAACATAAAGCCAAATCTACAATGGAATGGTTCACAAATAGACGTATCCAGGTGTTAGAATGGCCAAGTCAAAGTCCAGACCTGAATCCAATCGAGAATCTGTGGAAAGAGCTGAAGACTACTGTTCACAAACGCTCTCCATCCAACCTCACTGAGCTCGAGCTGTTTTGCAAGGAAAAATTCCAGTCTCTCGATGTGCAAAACTAATAGAGACATACCCCAAGCGACTTGCAGCTGTAATTGCAGCAAAAGGTGGCGCTACAAAGTATTAGCGCAAGGGGGCCGAATAATATTGCACGCCCCACTTTTCAGTTTTTTATTTGTTAAAAAAGTTTAAACTATCCAATAAATTTCATTCCACTTCACGATTGTGTCCCACTTGTTGTTGATTCTTGATAAAAAATTAATTATTATATCTTTATGTTTGAAGCCCGAAATGTGGCAAAATGTTGAAAGGTTCAAGGGGGCCGAATACTTTCGCAAGGCACCGTATGTTAGATAGTCCACAGTCTCCGCGTATATCAGGCTCTGAGCCCAAACTGCTTTTCCTTCATTTGCTTCGAAGCACAAAGCTCTCTGCTCCATAGTGCCTCGTCCATGTCCCTGCTGCAGCCGCTCCGTGCTTACTTCCAATACACACACGGACCAATCACAGCGGAGCTTCCTTGCGGTGACCCTTACGTAGTTCGAAAATGTTGATGCTGCGCGAGTATACACTAGGCTTGAGCAACTCCTGTGAGATCGGCATCATGTGGTTGGTTTTGGGATTACAACATTCTCCTCAAAACTCCGCAAGACACAAATGTGCTTGCGTAGGTCCACCGCAACCGCTAACGTAAGCCGCGCCGCGCAAGTATACACTAGGCTTTATTCTGCACTCTGTCCTAATACACTATAGACGTGTTGCTGCAGCTCGCGCGTATGTTAGTATTTGGGGCGTTCACGGGTAGTCCGTACAGAAAGTGCGGTAGAGCAGTAAAATCCACATGTGTGTTTTCCTTATGGTACCTGTAGCTGTTGTGGTCAGACGTGAGACTTTATGAACTGCGTGAAGCAGAGAGACCAGCGCACGTGCAGCTGTTTTGTGTGATGTCAGTGAAAAATACCTTGTGAATGCACTGCAAGATCTCAGTCGTAAAATTCAGTCATGTTTAGAAAATCCAACTCAGGCACACGCACTCGCGAAAAACAGGAAGAGGGTGAAGGTAAACGCATCCCATTGGTTCGTTGGGGATGAACGAATCCCATTGGTTTATTTTTATCGGCCCGCTCCAAAATATTATTTATTAATTTTTGGAGACTACAGGCATCTGGTCAATTCCCTTACTATTTGAAAACACATGTTTCCTCTGGAGGAGCCCTCTGCACCGGGAGCAGTGGTCGGTGTGGCTGCGGGGGTCGGACTCTTGGGCCTGGTGGGGGCCTGGGGCCTCGGTTTCATGTCTCCTCTGGGTCCTGTGTCGTCCCCTGTGGCTATGGGCGGCTCTCTGCTCCTGGTGCAGACGGCTCCTTGGATGACGCTTTTTCAGCTGGTTGCATCTGAACCCTGCCAAGTCTCTCATCATGTTTTTATTGTTTTACTGGTGTGTGTGTGTGTGTGTGTGTGTATGAGTGTTCATGAGCGCGTGTGTGTGTGTTTGTCTGTGGTCTGGGGGAGGGGTCTTGGGTCGGCGGGATTGTTTTTAACCAATCTGTAAAGCACTTTGTGTTGCATCTTATGTATGAAAAGCGCTTTATAAATAAAATTTGATTGATTGATTGATGATAACTTGACTACTTTCAGCGTTTAGGGACATTTTCCCACAATATTTTTAAAAAATGCATCTGGGAAAAATCACTGACTGCATCTTTAGGGTGATTTTTATCAAGCCTCACTCTATACTTTACTTCTCTTTCTGACTGTTGCACTGCGAGACAAAGCAGTTTCCTCGTCCGTGGCTTCCTGTTACTTACATGGCAATAAAAATGATTCTGATTCTGACGTCTCAAGCCTAAGAGCGCTCTTCGCCCTCAGCCTCAGACTGTGCCAGAATCTAATGAAGGGAAAGTCACATGAACCGGTTTTTGGGGCTGGGGGGATGTGTATAACATAAAGCATTTTCATAGAGAAACAGAATGGTTTAAAACAAATATATCCAAGTGTTATAGCTTCAGCCAACCCCCTTTCCAAACCTTGTGTATTTATTATATTATTCTGATGAAAAAATATGTTAATGCTGGTTTTTGGAATAAATATATAAATGCAATGACAATGAAATGTATTAAAAAGTCATGTGTCAGGCCGAGCCAAATACAAATGAGAATCAAGTTATAATCTGTGACTAATGTTCACAAACAATCCCCATCAAATCTGACCTGGGCTAAACTTTCAGTCTCCAGATTTGCAAACCTTGACGAGTCACAGCCCAAAGAACCTGCTGCTGGGATTGAATTTATGCTACGCCCAGGTTTAAGTTTATGGGCTCAAACCACAGAATGTTTTTGTTTTCACTTCGCAGTCGTCTGTTGCTTTGTTTGGGTCTTTCACTAAAACAATGGACAATAAAATATTTGTTTGTGGTTTTAACAAGACAGCTGTACAGTCTCTGGCACGGTTTATGGCTATAATAGCACTTTAGAGCACTTTGGAGCACTTTAGAGCACTTTAAAGCACTTAGAACCTATGATCCCAGAGCAAGGACAGTATTCACAGATACAGAATATAACCTGACGGAGAGGAGCAGGTGAAGCCACAGAATAAAGACTGAGCCTGGTGCCAAATGTTTATATAATTGTGTGTTGAGAAATGTATCTGTGATTTATGAAAGTTGTCAAACTAAGAACTCCGTCTGTGACGTGTTCTTTGGAAGGCAAGATTAAAACCAGTTTGAAGAAATGTATGGAACATTACGTTATATTCCTGCCTCTACTTTTTGCCTCTGAGTGTAAATGCGGTCCTGAATCCCAGATACAGTATAACCCTGATTAAGATTAAGATGAATGACCTTTCATTCGTCCCACAGTATTTCAGACACTTGAACCTAATGTTACACACACACACACGCACTAAAGACCTAAAAATCTACCATATGTGGTGTACAGCAGGATGCATTCATTAATAGTGGTGTTTTCATTGCATGAGTAAAAGTCAAATTTTAAACACTCATATGGTATGCTGTTTGAAGCCAGACTAAGTCCACATCGCCATGGAAACTGAATATTTTCTCTCTCTCTCTCATTTCTGCAATGAAAGAACTAGTCGTAATAGCAGATACCTCTGACTCTCGCCCTATGGCACCCATTGAAATAGTTGAGTTGTGGCATTGAGGCTTTGTTGCTTCACCGTGAAAGTAATTAAAAAGCCGGTGATGGTACAGGAGAGCACAGGGACGGTGGCGAACACACAGGGACTGTGGCGAGCACACAGGGACGGTGGCGAACACACAGGGACGGTGGCGAACACACAGGGACCATGGCGATGGGAGGTTGCTGCTTGACTCCGGGACACGGCCGGGGAACAATAGCGAAACTAATCTGGCAAATTGAAAGGTCCACAGAGGCGGGAGGCTGGGAGTAGCGGTGGCACCGTGGAGCTACATCCCCAAAATGAGAAAAACAAATTAAATCCTCGTAGTGCTTATACCGCACCCCCACCACCTTCCACTCCCCTGATTGAATCCCAGCCCCGGACATGAGTCTGATGTGGTTTTATGACGGCGGCACAAGCTGTGGTGAAGGAGGCGTCTGCACCGGGCTGTGTGCACTTGTTCTATATAAATAACTTTAAAGATGAGATTTCTAGCTTAATGTTTTTATGAATAGTACAATTTGTTTTCCAAAAAAGAAATGAGCACATTATGCTCAAAAACGAACATGTTTTCTTTGGCAAACTAAGAAAGAGCCTGAGTCAGATTGGGCTGAGAGCTGATTGGTTGGTTGGGGTTGGTCTTTCTCTTTTCATTGGTCGTTTGTTGTTTGTAATCTCAGCCTTGGGTCAAATGTATAATACAGTACATATAAAGATGAGAGCATGAATTCCATCTTTGCGGCCCTCGTGATGCTACAGTCTCTATAAAAACACATATTTAAAACAAAGTGATTGAATTACTGTTTCCATTTCAGATTCACTCATGTCAATCTGAAAAGTGACTCATTGGCAAGAAATTAAAAAGATGGTTCTAGTTTATGGAGATGAGGAAGAATGCCACGGGATGAAGATAAACTCCCATGTCATTTAAAGCTGTTAGCGATAATGGGGTTTTGTTCAATTTTTCAATTTGACAACTTAAGCAAGACATCACAGAGTTATCGTTGTGTAACATCTACGCACTTTGGAGCCAGAGTGTCTTTGGGATTTATCTGCGTCCTTTGGAAACACAAAACAGAGACGGTTTAGAATCTACAGTTTGAAGCATTCTGAGATAATCCACTAAATCTCACTTTGTAATCGACAATTTAGGACTGAAATGTGTCAGTGTGGATTTCCTTAAACATGTAAATATGTCGTCCCAAGAGCTGTTTACAGAAATACACATTTACATCATGTCAGAAACGACTGCAGCTGATGATCAAAGGGTTTTATTCACTCATTCATTATTCATTCTCAGGGTATGTTGCATTATTACCTTTTCAGAGCAATAGTGTTGTTCAGTTACAACATTAAAGTTAGGGATTTACAGTGACAATTCATGCATTTTACTTGTTTTAACGTTGAATTGATGCTCATGACAAATGACTTGGACAAGAAGGAGCTGGTGTGTGTTCATGGTCTGAAGTCTGGTTTAGACGTTTCAGATTCATGCAGCTAGAATCTGGAACAGTCTTCCTGAAAATGTGAGACAGGCTTCTTCTCTGATAATGTTCTGCTACAAATGAAGGAATTATCTTTTTAGAACTGAGATTATTTATGTGAGTGACTGTTACTGTCTTAGGCCCTGTTTAGACGGAGACGCTGCAGCAGTAAAACTTGGTTGGTGTCGGTTGCTCCCGTTTCCATGGAGACTGTTCCAGGTGAAAACGTAGGTGTTCAAATCCAGCCTCAGAGTGTGACAGCTCAGCAGTGATGGACAAGCTACTTGATTTAATAAATTCAGCTTCACTACACAGAAGCTACCACCCATAAAAATGTAGCAAGCTAAGTTAAAAAATCCTGTCAAAAGTTGCTTGATAAATAGAAGCTACTTTCAATTAAACAAACTGCAGTCCATGCAATTTTAGTGATAAATACAACTGTCAGTCAGATAAAGGTTAAAATTTAGATATTTATTGAACAATAGCCAAAAACACCAACAACAAAACACAAGAAGGCCTTTTGCAATTGTAAATAAAATAAATTGAGAAATTATAGCATTAAGCCCTTACAAATTAACATGTATTTAACTAGAAACCGTTGCAATGGCTGAAGCCATTGCGATTGACTGCGGAACAGATCTAATGTGGAATTTAGCTGAAAAATCCTTGAAATCCTTGAAACTGTTAAAATACTTTAAACATCTTTGAAACTCCTGAAGTATTTGAAGCTCCTGATATCCTTTAAACTGTTATCCTTTATACTGGTTTTCATGTAAAAACCCCTATTAAGTTCCATTATACTGGTTTACATGTAAAAACCCATATTAAGTTGCATTATACTGGTTTACATGTAAAAAACCCTATTAAGTTGCATTATACTGGTTTACATGGAAAAATCCCTATTAAGTTGCATTATACTGGTTTACATGTAAAAAACCCTATTAAGTTGCATTATACTGGTTTACATGGAAAAATCCCTATTAAGTTGCATTATACTGGTTTACATGTAAAAATCCCTATTAAGTTGCATTATACTGGTTTACATGTAAAAACCCCTATTAAGTTCCATTATACTGGTTTACATGTAAAAACCCCTATTAAGTTGCATAATACTGGTTTACATGGAAAAATCCCCATTAAGTTGCATTATACTGGTTTACATGGAAAAATCCCTATTAAGTTGCATTATACTGGTTTACATGGAAAAATCCCTATTAAGTTGCATAATACTGGTTTACATGGAAAAATCCCCATTAAGTTGCATTATATGGTTTACATGGAAAAATCCCCATTAAGTTGCATTATACTGGTTTACATGGAAAAATCCCTATTAAGTTGCATTGTACTGGTTTACATGGAAAAAACCCTATTAAGTTGCATTATACTGGTTTACATGTAAAAACCCCTATTAAGTTGCATTATACTGGTTTACATGGAAAAAACCCCTATTAAGTTGCATTATACTGGTTTACATGAAAAAACCCTATTAAGTTGCATTATACTGGTTTACATGGAAAAATCCCTATTAAGTTGCATTATACTGGTTTACATGGAAAAATCCCTATTAGGTTGCATGATTACACTGAAGTCCTTGAAACTGCTGAAGTCCTTGAAACTGCTGAAGTCCTTGAAACTGCTGAAGTCCTTGAAACTGTTGAAGTCCTTGAAACTCTTGAAATCTTGAAACTGCTGAAATCCTTGAAACTGTTGAATCCTTGAAACTGTTGAATCATTGAAACTGTAGAAATGTCTGAAAGAGCTGAAGTCCTATTAAAATGCATGGGCCTATTAAAATGCATTGCAGAATTCTCAATGCAGATTTTTGTCCGATTGCGGAAAAACCGGAAATCGCTGAAGTCCCAAAAGTAATAGCAATAATCTCCCAAACATGTGGAACGTTTTGATGTATAACTTGTGGAAATTGTTGAAAATGTGAAAGCTGTGAAACGTGTCAAAAAAAATGACGGAATAAAGAAATACAAAACCAATGGTTGACTGCGGAAGGTTCCGCAGTCAATCAATGAAGTAAGAGATGTCTAGTTGTAATTGATTGACTGCGGAACCTTCCGCAGTCAACCATTGGTTTTGTATTTCTTTATTCCGTCATTTTTTTTGACACGTTTCACAGCTTTCACATTTTCAACAATTTCCACAAGTTATACATCAAAACGTTCCACATGTTTGGGAGATTATTGATTGACTGCGGAACCTTCCGCAGTCAACCATTGGTTTTGTATTTCTTTATTCCGTCATTTTTTTTGACACGTTTCACAGCTTTCACATTTTCAACAATTTCCACAAGTTATACATCAAAACGTTCCACATGTTTGGGAGATTATTGCTATTACTTTTGGGACTTCAGCGATTTCCGGTTTTTCCGCAATCGGACAAAAATCTGCATTGAGAATTCTGCAATGCATTTTAATAGGCCCATGCATTTTAATAGGACTTCAGCTCTTTCAGACATTTCTACAGTTTCAATGATTCAACAGTTTCAAGGATTCAACAGTTTCAAGGATTTCAGCAGTTTCAAGATTTCAAGAGTTTCAAGGACTTCAACAGTTTCAAGGACTTCAGCAGTTTCAAGGACTTCAGCAGTTTCAAGGACTTCAGCAGTTTCAAGGACTTCAGTGTAATCATGCAACCTAATAGGGATTTTTCCATGTAAACCAGTATAATGCAACTTAATAGGGATTTTTCCATGTAAACCAGTATAATGCAACTTAATAGGGTTTTTTCATGTAAACCAGTATAATGCAACTTAATAGGGTTTTTTTTCATGTAAACCAGTATAATGCAACTTAATGGGGATTTTTCCATGTAAACCAGTATAATGCAACTTAATAGGGGTTTTTACATGTAAACCAGTATAATGCAACTTAATAGGGTTTTTTTCCATGTAAACCAGTATAATGCAACTTAATAGGGTTTTTTCCATGTAAACCAGTACAATGCAACTTAATAGGGATTTTTCCATGTAAACCAGTATAATGCAACTTAATGGGGATTTTTCCATGTAAACCAGTATAATGCAACTTAATGGGGATTTTTCCATGTAAACCAGTATTATGCAACTTAATAGGGATTTTTCCATGTAAACCAGTATAATGCAACTTAATAGGGATTTTTCCATGTAAACCAGTATAATGCAACTTAATGGGGATTTTTCCATGTAAACCAGTATTATGCAACTTAATAGGGATTTTTCCATGTAAACCAGTATAATGCAACTTAATAGGGTTTTTTCATGTATAATGCAACCTAATAGGTTGCATTATACCACCAGACCAAGACCCAAACGAAGACTCAGACCACCACCAGATAATGACCACAGACCAGGTTTCCTTAGTTACAGGAACCAAATTGTTTCAGCGGTGAGGGGATTTTTCAGTTTCAAGGACACTTTCAATACATTCAGTAGTTTCAAGGATTTCAGCTGTTTAAGAATTTAACCAGTTTCAAGGATATCAGGAGGTTCAAGGATTTCAGGAGTTTCCACACTTTCAACAGTTTCCAGGTTTAAAAAAGTTTCAAGGATTTCAGGAGTTTCAATGTTTCAACAGTTTCAAGGATTTCAGGAGTTTAAAGGTTTCAACAATTTCAAGGACTTCAGGAGTTTCAAATATCTATCAAGTATTTTAACAGTTTCAAGGCTTTTTAAAGGATTTCAAGGATTTTTTTTAGCAGATTTCCACATTAGATCTGTTCCGCAGTCAATCGCAATGGCTTCAGCCATTGCAAGTTTCTAGTTGCTATTACTTTTGGGACTTCAGCGATTTCCGGTTTTTCCGCAATCGGACAAAAATCTGCATTGAGAATTCTGCAATGCATTTTAATAGGCCCATGCATTTTAATAGGACTTCAGCTCTTTCAGACATTTCTACAGTTTCAATGATTCAACA